GTTTCATTTCCTATGTGTAACAATCGCGAAAACCTAAGAACTCGATATGTACACCAGTACGGACTGGATGTTGCAAATAAAATCCGGCGGTTTGAAGACCTCAAGAACAGTCAACCGTGACTATGGGACCTGTAAAGGGCCCGAAACGTCGGTTTGTTTGAAAAAACAAATATACGCGATTTAAATCCGGAAAAATAGTTTCATTTCCTATGTTTAACTATTCTTTACAATTAAAAAAATAAAAACTGTTCCTGCTTTAAATTAGATTTTAAATAACAAGGTACAAGGCTGACCAGTCTGAATTTGTGCTATTTGACTGTTCTATTTATAGAAGGGCATTGCTTCTTTAATATAATGTGTGACTATAGAGACGCTTGTCAAGAACAACACAGAAAAATTCCTTATTTGATCGGCCTAAACAGTTTTCACGTCGATAAATATAGAGACTAACTAAAATATAGAAACACGCAGAGAGCGGGTATGACTAGGGCGCGGGTCGGGTCAGGATCGAGGCGGGTCTAAGTGACCCGCACCCTCTTTCTGCGGTTTTCACGCTTAAATGTCTCACTTAGCTTCTATTACTCCGCCTGTAACAGTAACACTCTTTATGACAATCCACTTTTTCTTCCAGAGACCAATCAAAAGACCATGCGATCTCCGGTGCTCAAGCAACATGGTGTTTCTGGCGACGTCGGCGGTTACTCGTTGCGTTGCTCGCGTTCTTCGGGTTCTTCAACATTTACGCTCTCAGGGTGAACCTGTCAGTTGCAGTTGTCGCCATGACAGAGCCCGTGGAAACCAAGCTCGAGAATGGCACTATTGTTATGGTGAGTAAATTTGCGATATAGGATATCGAAGACTATACTTCTCAATTGTAACCACAGTTGTTCGTATCCCTATGCTTACATGTACTTACTCTAATTTCTGAGTTACGTCTTTGAACGTTTAGTAGCAACACCTTGTGACGACTGCGATGTGACCTCTTCATCCCACCTTTTTTATCACCCTTTTCTTTTTTTTCTTTTTTTTTTTATTCGTTTCACAAAACTGGATACAACTCTTAAATCAAATACAACAGATTGGTTAACATTATAAGGCGAGAAGAGTGTGTCCTTCTAGATGTGAACACAGCGTTTCGTATTTAAAACATAAAGTGCATAAACAAAATTATAGTAAATTAAGATTTACATATCTACTATTTATGAAATAGGAAACAGACAACTAGAATTCATTGCGCAGTCACTATATAATACATTTTCTTATTGAGTTTCTAGCTGAGACCACAGAACAAGAGAATATGTCAAAATCATATCTGATAGCATTATAATAAGAACACATGCGATACACTGGACTGTGTTGACCAAGGTTGGTTCTGCAAGTAGGGAGTGCGAAAGTTTTACGATTGATTAGGCGACTTCCGGGACGAGGTACAGATAGATACAAGCACTCGAGTATATCAGGAGCGTCGATGACACCATGAATAATCTTGAATAAAAAGATCAGGTCAAGCGATTTTCGGCGTTTTTGCAATGAGGAAATATTAAAATAAGATATTCTTTGATATAATACGCATCGGAACTCCGAGCAACTGCGTGGGCATTACCAATAGGTCGGTGCGTGCGGTCCGTGTGATACGGAACAGTGGACGCAGTTGTATGAACTTCTATACAAAGAATACTAAAATCCTTATAATGCGATCCGTCCGATGCATACGCTGCGGATCTGTGGACGCCTACCTTTAAAATACACACTTATGATATGTACAAATATTTATTGACAATGAAAAGTCAGGTGAAAGTGGTGACGTAAACATAATGTAGCATTACAGGTCCTCCCTCTTAATTTTGACAAGGAACTCTGGTTGCCACCAGCTTTTCTATGTGCCTCTTCCAGACTTCTCCGGTGTCAGTTTGGAGCTCGTAATGTAGCTGGCCCAACTTCCTCCTTACTGTTGCAAACACCTACTTAGGACCAGTGGGCATCTAGTTCTGAGCCTGAACTCTCTGGCCCTCTCGCAGAGTCCGTAATGGACGTGACAAATTGCATGCCAGAGATGGAGATGTGGTCGTTGTTGGTTCTACAAATAACGCATTGAAATACATATATTCTGATTTGTACAAATATTTTATTGCCAATGAAAAGTCAGGCGAAGGCGGTGACATAAACAAAATCCAGCTTTGTATACTCGTCATAATATATATCAAATGCTATAACAATTATTGTAAAAAGTGGAAAAGTAACTAACTAAGTTTTGAGCAGCAATTCGCGCCAGACACGATACAGAGCGAAATTTTTTATGATACCATATGACGGGATGAACAAGTGGTAAGTGACAGGCCTGTCCATAACAGTTGCAGAGCCACTCAGAGCTTTAAATCGTAAAGATCTTGCACGCATTTTCCAGTAAGCGGCTATAGTAACTGTTATTTATTCTCGTCATTATATCATACCTCTCTACTCTGAAGTAAAACTAGTCTGTGCTCAAGTTAGTTTATATTTTGAATTAAGAGGCATCAGAGCCTCTATCTAAGCTCAGATCCCAGAATAAGCCCTGTCACGCCCTCGTTAGGTCCCAGTTATCTTTCCCATCCGTCAATTCCGGTTTCTATTCTCACTCTTTCTTTGTTCACGCGGTCAGACTTTGGAAGGCACTTCCCATTACTGTTCACAAAAGTAAATCCTTAGCTATTTTCAAAACGAGAGTTAAGGAGCACCATTTTGTCCACTTTTCCATCCATTTCATGGGTATTATGTTATAATGCATGTATTTACTTAAGTATTTATACAGTAGTAATCACATGTTTATGAAATTGTTTTTTTTATTTACCGACTTCAAAAAAGGAGGAGGTTCTCAATTCGATTGTATGTTTTTATTTTTATTTTATATTTTTGTATGTATGTTACGCGATAACTCCGGTATTTGTGAACAGATTTTCATGATTTTTTTGTTGGAAAAGGGGTACTTCCATAGTGGTCCCATTTCATTTTGAAGAAAATCATCCACCTTTAAGGGTGGATGTTCACGCATGAAGATTCATTTTTATTATAAATAGCGCCTAACTTTAATTTAGGAGCAATTATTTTAATGGTTGATATTGCTATTTCTCCAACTCAAGACGTTTTTCTCTCAATATACTTTGAGTAGTGAGAACCGATTATTATTATCTCCAGTGTCAAGTCCTGTATAGTGGCGAACTAGGAGATATTTCAATAAAACTTAGCAAATAGACGTAATTCCACGTACTTTTGAGGTCGGTTTTTTTAGTACTCTGTATTGAGATTATTTAATTTTGATTACATATTTTTTGTTTTCCTTGTGCTACGTGCAACCTGGTTTTGTAATTATTGTGTCTTGCGTTTAGGTCTGCAGGAAGAAGCAGTCCTTTTGTTTGCCTTTTCTCTTTTTTTACTAAATATATAATATATTTTCCTGTGCAATAAACGATAAAATATACAATGTAATTCACACACAAAAAATAACAATAATGGACGATAAAGTGCAGATGAGTAGTGCATTATGTGATAAAAAAGGTAGAGAAGTGCATGAAAGAAAATTATTTCACTTCGTCTTTTCTTAAGTAGGTCCAAAGAAAAACAATCAACAGACCACAAAGTCCTCTCCTAAGTTTTATAATAATAGAAATGTAACAGCGTAACCTGTTTGAAATAGTTTTGATTTTATTAACGTGCATTTTAAATTAGATTATACCTTTAATGAGATTATTTCGTTTAATTCCCAAGTTTATCATCTTAACAGTTATTTTACTATTAAATGTGTTTTTATAATAAAAATACACAGCTTTGCATTCACAAATTTTGATTAAAGATATACGTCAGCCCGGTACTACTTGCCACATTTATTAATAAAATTGTTTGAAATTTTTACATCACATTAAAAAAATAAAGGTATTAAATTCCCTTGAAATAGAAGAGGAAAAATTCCACCAAAAGCAGCGCCCTTGGGTGTCGAACCCAAGAGACTGGCAATGTTTCCGCTTTTAAGAAATTAAGCTTATTATTTGGCGGAAGTGGCTAAAAGCCTTCTGGCCGCCGGAAGTTTCAACAAATCAAAGTAAAAACGTACAAAATTTTAAATTATTAACATAGTAAGGACCGCATAAAGCAACATATTAAATTAATTATTTATATCAATCTTATATATTAATAAAATATAATAGGCATTCTGTAGCAGTAAAGTTCCTATTGCAAGATTTTGTCCAGGAAGGTAGGTATATCAACCTTAACTAGTTTTGCCGCCAACCAGTAGTGTGAACATTATTACGTTCCGGTTTTGAAGTGTAAGGGTGCTGGCAAAGTGATGCTACTTCCATTGCGCCCGACACCCGGAGACATAAGTTGACAAGTCCCATGTGTCTGTAATTTCACCAGCACTCTTACCCTTAAAAACCGCAACACAGTAATGTTAACATTACTACTTGGCGGCAGAAATAGGTAAGGCGGCAGTATTTCCCTGGACGAACTCTTTCACAAGGAGCTCTACTGCTACTAGATATAAAATAAATAAAGATAATAAAGTTTTATTTGACAGAATGACAGCAACAATTTTTATGATTACCGCGGTCCCCACACTAGGCAAGCCTGTATCGTGGTGTCCCATACAATCGATTTACATAATGTAATGCTTAGCCTCTGAACGAACACATATATATACACATATGTATATATGTACATATACATATATATATTTGTATATAGAAGTCAATCAATCAAAGTATATATAGAGACTTACGTTTTTTAGTTCTTATAGAATTGATAGAGTTAGAAATCTAGACACAATAAACTCATGCCCGTACCGCAGTCATTTCTAGGCACAAGGGAGTTGTATTGCTTTAAATTTTTATTGCCTATCGAATTGAAAAGGTTTCGCATACTCTTTGCTATCGTTTTGCCAACTGTACAATATCACTTGCAAAGCAAGACACTCGTTAATATTCAACCCTATTGCATTACATGTTGGTCGGAAATGCCGAATGATTTTCTTTGCAAACTATGATCACTGTGTAGAATTTTAGCATTTCATTGGTAATTCCTAATCCTCACACATACGGTTCACATTGAACTTAGTTTGTTAATAAAAATTTATGGCGCTTGCCTTTTCTTATGTTTGAGTGCGCCGTAAATGTTTACGACTGATGGATAATAAATTAAAATGAGGTCCTCAAGTGTGCACATTGAAAATAGGAAAAACAACACTGCAACGGCGGTCGTTGACCTATTTTTTTACATAGATAGATAGATAGATAAAAGCTTTATTCACCACCATGACATCAGATACATGACATAGGCATTAACTTATATATAACAATAATGATATTCTTATCTACTAATATTACACTTGGAAGTCATGGCAGTGAAAAAGGCGCTGGCTCAGCATAAATGACGCGGCTGCCCGCGACGCTGGTATTCTGCCAGGACCCTATAGGATAGAGACGCCACTCGCAATCCAACAAAAATCTGATTTCATTTTTAAATTATTAATTTTCAATTTTCAAACTTCTTCCTCCCAACCTCCACACATAATACACTATTTGCAGTCCTGAAACGAGGTACAGCCAAGAGCATAACAAGCCCGGCCATAAAACCTTGGACCTTGGACCGTTCCTATCGCAAGCGGCACAGAGTTGAGATTAAATCTTAAATGTCAAGCACGACGCACTCCCGACCCTGTACGTGGACAAACAAGAGACAACCGCAAATACCCTAGCCACTCATATCCCCAATTTTTGTCAGATACGTTTTTTTTATATATATCCACAGCTGATCAAGTTTAACAGTTTAAAGCATTCTTATCGTAAGTATTATGTCGTACTGCTATTACAATAGTCTTGTAACTCAAAATATGTGAAATTCAAGATTATAATATTGCCGACATATATTGATTACATATAAAACCGTCGCGACGGTTAATAAAACGGTTATATTGCCGTGTAGAGAATCAAATTTTAAACAGCTGTAATATAATCTTGAATTTCACATACGTCGTTAGAATATTGTAAGAAACAATTAAAAGCTATCTATTTAACTCAAAATGAGGCGAACGTCTTGTTAGTAGCAGTTGAGCTCCTTGTGAACGAGTTCGCCCAGGGAAGTACTGCCACCTTACCAATTTCTGCCGCCGAACAGTAATGTCAGCATTACTGTGTTCCAGTTTTGAAGGGGTGGTGAAATTTCAAGCACATGACACTTGTCAACTTATGTCTCAGGATGACAGGCGCATTGGCACTGCAACTTTTATGGACAGGCGTGTAGCTTACCATCAGGCGCACGACTTGTTCATCCCGTCACTTGACATTATAAACAAAAAAATATTATCTGTATTAATTAAATTTTTATTGAATTGATATTCAATTATATTTTGTGAAATTACTCCACTAGTTTGTTATAATTATTAATACAAAGATCGAACACTCAGAAAAAATTCCTTTGATCCGGTCGGATTCGAACCGACGTCTTCTTGCATACCGTGCCAGACGCTATACCAACTAAGCCACGGAACGAACCAACGGACCTCACGAATTCTTCTATGTGCTTGCGTCGTGTCTTTGTACTTGGTCTTTCAACGACTTTTTAGTCGTAGCGCCGTCTATGAGAAATCTATGACAGATTTATCACCCAGTTAGTACCTTTACAGCTACCAGTCCTGGCGAGAGATGTCGCTATTCACTGTATTAATAAAATTTTTATTGAATTGATATTCAATTATTTTTTGTGAAATTACTCCACTAGTTTGTTATAATTATTAATACAAAGATCGAACACTCAGAAAAAATTCCTTCGATCCGGTCGGATTAAATAATATTATCTGTGTTGAAACAGAAGTGTGTTCCTTTGTGAAGTTTAATTGTCCGGCAATTGTGAAATATGAATACAGGTGCTTATGCCATAGTATAAATAAGAACAAGTAGGGCAACTCACGCCTGTTCAGCGCATCAATGTTACATGTTAGTATGATCTGTACGCATAACGTGATCAATTTTGAAATTGTATATTAGATATACAAAACATATGTGTATTGCATAAACTAGCGATTCGTTCTGTGTAGGTACCATTTGGGTTCTCAGATTTATCTCAGAGAAAAGTTTAAGGAGACTGGTATCATGACTGTGGCATCGCAGTACATTTACTCAAATATTTTGTAAGCCCGTAAAAATACATAATTTCAATAAGAAAGAAGATATCCATAATATTAACCTTAGAACTAAGTCCAAACTCATGGTACCACGTTTCCGTTTAACTAAGGTAAACGATTCTTTTATGGGGAACTGTATACATTTATACAATAAAATTTCGGAGGATACATTAAGATTATCATTTCCTAAGTATAAAACTTACATTAAAAGTGTTTTAATTGAAAAGTCATATTACAAAATTGTAGAATATGTGTTAGATAAAGATGTATGGAAAGACAACGTGAGTTTATTTGAAAAGAGCAATCCCTAGAGTTTCTTGTTTGTACTTCTCAAGGAGGTCAGCGTAGTGAATGAGCAATAGCTTAAAAAATGACGTTTTCAAGTGTAAAAACTTTACCTATGGAATAAATGATTATTTTGCTTTGACTTTGACAAATTCCAGTGCGTATTGTTGCAATAACTTATTTTTAAAAACTGCATTAAATTTACCAGGTGCCAGAGTTCGACTGGTCTTCTCAGACGAAGGGGCTGGTGCTGAGCTCGTTCTTCTACGGGTACCTGGTCACGCAGCTGCCGGGCGGGTGGCTTGCGGCTAAAATAGGAGGTAACAGGTTCGTTCCATTTGCACCAAAATAACAAACTATCAAATTCCCATCAATAAAACCCATCGAGTATACCTATAATCAGAAATAAAGACAAGATAAGGGCCACCCGTCTCTGGCAACACATCAGGCAAATGGGCCTTATATCATTTTTAAATATCGACTCTCGATGCGCTGAAATCACAAATTAGAAAACTGAAATAGTACAGTGCCAACAACTGACCCGTGTGTACGTCTCCGTATATACCAAAAATATTCAGTATTTATTCTAATAATGATAATAATATCTCTATGGGGGGCTGTTCCATTTGGTGGTGTGGGAATATCAGCAAAACATCTAATTACAAAACAAACGGAATCACATTTCATCGGTAATTAAATATTAAATATGTCATTTTTAAATATTCGTCCATTATAGCAAAGTTCAAGTTAAACTGGTCGATTTGAAATAAAACGATTGACGACACCCGTCAATTAAAGCAAAAGTCACTACTTGGCAGAAAAGTTTTCAAACAAATTAAATGACGTTTCGTCTCTATTTCTGGTTATATACTCGATGATAGACCCTCACAATAACTCAAGTAAAGATATGGACAGTTAGTTGAAGATTTACAAACACCTTCGAAAATGTTATGCCTCTGGCGTAAAGACTTCATGACGATGAAGAAGACTGCTCAGAAGAGAGAGAACATTTCCTATAATATACCTGTAATCTTAGAATAATAACGCATGGAATGATAGTTTCATATCAAACGAATTGTTACAAGTGAGGCAAAAATCAAATTCATGTAGGCTAGTTTTAGTAGTAGGTTAATTTTCGGTTTTAGTGAATATTTATATAAAAATACAAGTTGAAACGCGTTACTTCCTTGTGGAATGTGATGTTAGTATCTATTTTATGTTTGTCTGACTTCTTTTTACACTCATTTACCGCACAATTCGTCATTTTTAGCTAAAATCTTGATCTGTTCGCGGTGCAAGTTGACCTTGAGCCATGAAGGCCCGCCCGCTCGTGTAGGCCCATTGGGAGCGCTTCAATTTGCCTCACTTAGCGTGTGCGGACTAGGTTTCTATGCCTTATTATTCTAAGCCTGTAATTGAAAAAAGTAGTATAATAATATTTTTTTTTATAAAAAACCCGACCTCAAAAGTTTTTGAAATTACATCTACTTGAGTACCAAGTTGTATTGGAATCAGTTAACGGAATATGGGTGAAATATAATAGAAACCTGATTTATCCACTAATTTCTCTTCCTTAGAGGTGGAATATTTACTTTAACAAAGTTCAAATACCCCCTTTCAAACAAAAATGAATCTTCGAAATCTCGTAACACACTACTAAAAAAATACAGTCGAATTGAAGCATTGGGAACAAACAAGGGCGTTCGGCACCAAAGCCCGTTTTGATGTTATTGCATCAAAAACACTATCTAGTTATCTTGTGACAAAAACTAATGCGTAAGCTTCATTCATTTAGAGGGTGACGCTCCGCCCTCATTGCTAAGATTATAAATGTGTGTTGGAATTTCGAACACGAGTGGTAAAGTGTGCAGTTTGTAAAAACTTATTTCAATTTAAAACAAATGCTCAAATGAATGAAACGTGCGACTTCATCCTCAACATGGAGCATCTAGGAGGCCAGTGAGACCTGCTCAAGATGATACTGTCAATTCATTTAAATCCAGCGAACTTAATGAATGATTAAAAATACGTTTAAATTAGTTTCAATGTAACTTTTAAATAAAACTCCTTAAAAAGCAATAATAAAACGAACGCCACATTAATTTGGTGCAACAAGGGCGGATAACACAAGGAAAAAATATATATTTTCAAATACTTCTTATTGTTTTAAATAATAATAAAGTATATAAGAGTCATATTATAAATATTAAAGAAATGTAAGACATTCAAACTTTATTTTAAATTTTCTCGAACCTCACTTTTAAGTAAAACTTTTACTTAAGTTTTTACACCCAATGCTTCAATTGAGAACCTTCCTCTTTTTTTGAAGTGGCTAAAAATTAATTTGAGAATGAAGGCAAAATTTGTGATTTCAAACTGTCTTGCGCAGGGTGTTCGCGATCGGCATCGGAGCTACGTCCCTGCTGACCCTGTTCACGCCGCCGCTTGCGCACATCAGTACCGGCTTGCTGATTGCTGTCAGAGTACTAGAAGGTCTATTTGAGGTAATAATCAAGACAATCGCGTACACTTGCTTGCCATCGTGGTAAAAGAATTTGCCAATCGGCGTAAGGTTCTGCTCGCCGACTCACAGTGGGCTGATTTCGAAAAGTGTGGACTTAAGGCTTGAAATTGTTAGAATCGGATACTACTAGTCAATATGATAATTTTATGTTTTGGAACTTTTTTCGTATCTTCATCTATACCAATATTATAAAGAGGTAAATTTTTGTAAATTTGAATATTTGTATTTCTGGAACTACTCAACCGATTCAGAAAATTCTTTCATTAATAGAAAGTTACAGCATCCCCGAGTGATATAGGCTGTTGTAATAGGATTAATATTGGAATCTTTATACGGGGCGCAACTAGTAGTTATAGTTTTTGAGTAATAACACTTTAAAAAATGTTTGTAGAAATATTTAAGATTTGACGTAACTTATTTTAATTTCGATATTATGCGGTACATTCTCGACACGATAAAAGATAGCACACATAAAATTAATGCCAATCAAAAAGATAATAACATTATTAATATCAAGACGCAGCAGTCTCATCACCCTAAAATGTCACTTGTTTTGCTAAAAAACACACGTGTAAACAATCGGGAGCTTATCATAAACACGAACAAAAGATCAAGGTTGTTAAGAAATATGCTTATCTTTGACAATTGTGGTCAAGTTAGAATAATAGCAGGTAGTAATTAGGTCAGTTTGTCCCATTCGAGTAAACTTCTCTCAGAACGTGATTACATTTCGTAAGAAACGTACTATTTATTTTGAAATAATACCCTTTTCTTGGAAGTTTTATAAAAATGGTTGGTGAATTGGTGACTAACCTAGACTTATTTGTAAAACTAAAAAAAAGTGGCAATATTAAAAATGCTGCGGCATTATTTGATATTATAACATTTAGTTTAAACAAAAATTTAAGCGAAGACAATATCAAAAAGTTGAAAGCGTTTTGTGCAACATATTGTTCTAATCTTCACAGAAATTGGCTCAGTGCTAATAGAAGAGAAGAAGATTGTATAAAGAAATATAGTAAATGGTTGGATGCAGATGTATTATGGCCCGATTATGTTAGGAGTGCTTCAGAACAAAGCGACGAACCATCTACGACCACGCCTATTACATCAGCACAATTTGCAACATCATAAAAAATAAGCGGTGGAACCTATACTGAGTTGAGTCCAAGAAAACCTTTCTGTGATTTAGGGCCTAAACAAAAAAGAGTCGTGCTGAGAATATTGATAACACAATGTCTTATGATGAGATATCGTACGTACATTCCATGAAATGAAAAGCTGATGGTCATGGTGACATTGCCAAAATCGTTGATTACTTGCTTAAAAATCCACACGATGTGAAAAAAGTAAAAGAATGTAATAGTAACAAAACTGAAAAACCATTGTTTGATGCAGATGAGGCTTTAGGTTTGTTTGTATCACGAAAACTATCCAAGTGGCAGTATAATACATTGAGAAAAAGTGTTGCAGAAAAAGGTGTGCATATATTTCCTTCCTACTTTAAACTCCAAAAAGCAAAACAGTCGTGCTATCCACCTAAAGAGGAGATTACACTAACAGAGACCACTGCTCAAATAAAATTGCAAGCGCTCTTAGATTTGACAGCAAGCAGATTATTAAAAGCTATACCGTTAAATGACGATTGTAAACAAATGAAACTAATAAGTAAATAGGGTTTTGACGGTGCCTCGAATCAAGTTACATATAAGCAAACAATAGAATCAGAAACGGAAGATAATGGAGATGATTCCAGCGTATTTATGGGAAGTTTAGTACCCATCAAGTTAGTTTCTGGAGAATCAACGATTTGGGAAAACGACTCGCCAAATTCAACACATGTGTCGCCCACTATTTTTTAGATTCTTTAAAGAGAATAAAGCAACCATAATACAGCAAAAGACATCAGAAGAATCTGAAATTGACCAACTGCAGACTACAAAAGTAGAAGATATTTAAATTACTCATTCCTAATTGCTTACTATGATAGACAGTAAAGCCACAGCAATTTTAAGTGAAACATCAATGCAACGATGTTATATGTATATGTAAAGCGTCTCCCAAAGAAATCAATGAGTTAGATCTTACATCATCAAAAAATATAGATACCGAGTTATATAAATATGGCCTATCCTCATTGCATATGTGGATGCGTATGATGGAGTGTATTCTTCACATAGCGTATAGATTAGATTTGAAAACGTGGGTTGTGAAAGGTGAACAAAAAGCCGCTCTGGAAACTAGAAAAAAATTATTCAGGACGCCTTTAAAGTTCAAATGGGTTTATTGGTTGATGTTGTTAAACAAGGTCATGGTACAACGAATGATGGAAATACGGCAAGACGATTTTTCTCAAACTATAAAACATCAGCTTCATTCATCACTACAGGTGTTGATGAAAATTTAATTAAAAGGTTTGCCACAATTTTGCAAGTCATTTCTTCGGGACAAACAATAAATATAACAAAATTTAAAGAATATGCTGAAGTAACTATGACAAAACCTTAGGTAAACTTGCTGATATTTGAAATGCAATTGTTGAAAGAAATTGTTAAAAGCGTTTGCTATTTGGGTATTGTCTGTCAGTCGTCATCATCGTCTGTCGTCATCTTTTATACTCGATATGTTTCTGTCAAATTTTTGTTCTGCTTGGTTTGTTAATTTATTATACACCACGATTCTTTGATTTTATTTAGTGCTCTGTTAATCCTATTTAAAGTTTGGAACTTAGCATGATATAATACTTTTTCTATTTCTAGGGAAGTTTTATTTTTAATAATAATATACAACAAAAGAATTTAAAAACTCAATGTATATCACTATAAATATACTGAGGATGAAACTATGACAAATGCGCCCTACTTCTTTACACCATGGATGCGTAATAGATTTTTTTTTTAATTTATAACATTTTCAACCCAGACCGTTATATTAGAAAACTCGCACTGAACCGCAAGTGCAGATATAGATTTTATGGTAACTCGAGACTACAACTATATGGATCAATACATTATTTTTTGAAAAAATTTGAGATTTCAGAGATATACCCCAATTTCACTTTTTCTCCATACAAAAAAAGTTTCAGAGCCATATAACTATAAAATTACTGTGTCAATCGAAAATATTCACATGACAGTTTATGATTGTATTGGTGAGTAAAATCAATATCCATCATCATATTTATAAAAGGAGTTGTTTAATTTTCAAGTACCCCTAAGTCCACTAGCGATCATTTTCAGCCCACTGTGCGACTGTTGCCCAGGCGTCAGGCGTACAAAAAAGTATGTCGAGCGGGTGGGCTCCTTTCGTGCACCCCATTAAAACAATACATTTTGTTACAATTCAGTTTGTTTGTAAAAACAAATACTTATAGGTGATTTATGTCCGGAAAAATAGTTTCATTCTCTAGTGCTTTAGTTACTACTTTGGAATCAGGGCAACGTGTGTGATATTATTTATTATTGCCTAATAGTTATATCTTATAACTAGTTTACATCTATTTAATGAAGAATTAATTACCCGAATTTTAACTTTTGAGTAGTCTAACATTGATTCGTGTCTTTGTGAAGTTATATGTGCACTAATACAACATTAAATATAATTTAATAAAGCCACGCCTACCGGGGAGTGTGCAGAGTGCGGGAAGATCGGCCACTTTATCAAAAAATAGGGTTGATATCAATCTTAAGTCAAAGGGACGATATAGTCGACGATGAAGCGTGCCGACCTAAATAATGCCTATTCACTCACACCTTGTAAAGGCCCAAGTTATAGCGTTCAGGGAAGAGGTCTGCAGGCAGGGAATTCCACTCCATAACCATTCGGTATATAATTGTGGATTAGGTGTGTTGGCGAGACGCTTGCCTAGCAGTTTTCAATGGAGGGGGAAAGAGAAGAAATAGAAATACTTTGGGATTTTTCGAACGTATTTTATGTAGCGATTGACAACAACAAATAAAAAAACATAACGTCACAAGGAATACAAAATTTAAAGGAATATAAAAACAGACCACATCAAAAAGAATGTGCTCACACACAATGTGATTGTTTGCACGCATAAATTAAGTTAAAATTTAATTAATTACTTTTATTTAATACGTGTAAACTAGTCATTATTATAAATAAACTTATAACTATATATTTTAAGTGAGAAAATAACATCAGGATTCTTTCTCTTGAGACGCAATAATGCAGACAGCCTTCCCGTTCCCTAGGGCGTAACGTACCCCTGCATCCACGCCGTGTGGTCCCGCTGGGCGCCCAGCGAGGAACGCGCGCGTCTGGCCACATTCGCCTTCAGCGGCAGCTACGCCGGCACCGTCGTCTCCATGCCTATATGCTCCTTGCTGGCGCACTACACCGGCTGGCCGGGGATATTCTACGTTTTTGGTGAGTCTAACCCGATGTGACTACGGTGCCCGGACACAGTCCATGCAACACCAGATTCATCCCCTAGTTTGCCACCTTTAGAGTTTGCACTCGTTTGCACTGAAATATAGACACAACGCCAACAACTGACCTGTGTGTACGTCTCCGTATATTCCAAAAATATTCTGCATTTATTGTAATAAAGACAATATCTCTAACAATGGCGTGCTGTTCCATTCGGTGGTATAGGGGAAAACAGCAAAACGTCTAATTACAAAACAAACGCAGTCAAATTTCATCGGTAGTTAAATATGTGATTTTGCAATTTTCGTCGATTATAGCAAAGCTCAAGTTAAACTGGTAGTTTTGAAGTGAAACAATTGACGGCACCCGTCAATTGTTTCTGATTCGGGCTGGCCAATCTCAAATCATCAAAATAGTTTTCAATTGAATTAAATGACATTTCGTCTATATTTCTGGTTATAATATACACGATGGTTTCCACAAATAGTTAATTATTAATAATGAAATGTTATGGTGACATTGCAGGCATAGCAGGGCTCGTGTGGACGACGATCTGGTGGCTCGTAGTGAAGGAATCGCCCGAGCACGACCCGCTCATTACTCCCGCAGAACTTAAGTACATACAGGTGAGAATTATTTGAAATGTCAACTTTGAAAGTTTATTCTATGGTAGTCTTCAATTTTCAAAACTTGTTAATAGTTCAAACTAGACGGTATTATTTGGCACCCATGTGATGATTATAAGTGAAACATGAATCTGGTGCACGCTAGACATTCTAAACACAGCATCCTAGAAACGTTTTCGGCTAAACTCGATGCGCCGATGCTTCCTCATTTCATCCAGGTTCTGGAAATTACGTTTTTGTGGTAATGTATGGTTCTGATAATGTATGTTTTTGTGGCTTGTTTCTGTATCTACTAATAATAGTTGTAAGTTAAAATTGTCTGTATTTACTGGGAAGTGGACCTTGGATGCCAAATAAATTATTTATTTATTATCATTATTTGAAAATAATAATGTGCCAGACAATCACACCAATAGCTTAGCCTCAAAACTAGGGAATTCCCTGTACTATGAGCACCAAAGCAACGGAATTCACTCTAGGGCACTTCCCAGAACACCTAAACCAACTTAGAAATGTTCATTTCTCGAATTAGTCCTACTGGAAATCCAACTCGGGGCCTCTGCATCTTAAGCCCCCAGTGTGAATTATTAAGCTACCGATTTTGTAAAAATACGTTAACACTTCCTTAAGAGTTTGATGAACCCACGCACGCACGCATGCACGCACGTACGCGCGCACGCACGTATGCACGTACGCACGCTTGGTCCTACAATCCTTTACTTCAAGGCCTCTACAATAACATAGGACTATTTCCTCACACTTGCTCGTAAATAGTATGCAAAACTTGACTAGAATGCCTCAAATAAAATCCTCGGGCCTTTTTTGTATTCTTTCGGTGAGGATTTTTTTTTTAATTTGTAGCACGACATACTTCCTTACATAGATCAGGTTTAAACTCAAACAAGGAGGTTACTTAAGTTCAAAATTGAAACATTCGCTTAAAGTGTTATCGAAACAGAAATTTTATTGCAATACGTACCACTACGTACATACCACTTATATTAAATCATAGTATAAACATATCATTACGAATTTCTTATAATTGATTTTAATTATTTTGTGTATAAACATTTTGCAATTTTTTTTACTATTCATCATGGCTGTATGCGTCTTTACTTTTTACAACATTTTAGTTCGAGTTGTATTATCTATTGAAGAATTGCTAGCAGGCCATCGGTTGATAAAAAAAACTACAACACAACACAATTGTTGTGAACCATATTTATTCATACAAGAAATAAACATTGTATTTATTACCTCGCAAATGTGATGACAAACATTGTACGTATTACGAACTAATGTTTCTATCTCTCTTCTATCAGCTGACCGACATACTTGGGGTCCTTTGCAGGAGTCCCGCGGCACTCCGCTGGTGGAGGGCTCCAAGGTGCGGCACCCCTGGCGGGCCATGCTGACGTCAGCGCCCGTGTGGGCCATAGTGGCCGCGCACTTCAGCGAGAACTGGGGCTTCTACACGTTGCTCACGTTCCTGCCCACCTTCATGCAAGGTCAGTCACTGTGTGTATTATAGTTCAAAATATTAAGTTTTCCACCCTGCCTGTAATGAGGTTACATCTGCAAAATAACGACTTTTCAGGAAAGAAGTATAAAGATTCTAAAAACAAAATTAGTCGAAACTTTTTATGCTATAATCGGAGAGTTAAAAATTTCACACATACATAATTTGTTTCATGTATTTAGGCTATTATTTTCTTGACTTTCATGTGATAAACCTTCCTTTGACGTATGATCACATGTAAGCAAAATAATTTTTTTAATGCACGCACTCATACTAGGGAAACCCTGTGTCGCGGGTACTATGGACACACTTAGACAACCACAAATTACACCCAAGCTCACGAGAGAAATAAATGTAGGCTATACAAATATTTCTCCTAACCCGGGGATGGAACCCGGGAGCTCTGCGTGGCAGTCCAGCATAGCAACCGTTCGGCCGAGGAGGCATTGCGACTGTGTCACTCTCCATTTAGTAGCAATAAAGGTCCTTGTTAAAGAGTTCGTCCAGGGTACTGCCACCGTACCTGTTTCTGAAAAGCAGTAAAGCTCTTATTTAAATGATCGTTTTAAATTTGCAAAAGCAGCAGGCAAAATATCTAAACGGTCATCTTTTTTAATTATTGATCCTTTATCTCTGAGACAGAAAATGAATTAAATCAATCGATATATGTGTCGATATATTTTAATCTGTTCTGGGCTATTGTATGATTTGTGTTAATTAACTTTGATAGCTTCATGTTGAGCATTAAGTGTCGTATTCGAGAACTCTACTCAGTGCTCAAGTCAGGACTTGAGTATGATTCAAAGCACTAGAAATCATACTCAAGTCCTTGCCATTAGGGTCGTATTTCCAGTGCTTGAAATCATACTCAAGTCTGCTCAAATCCTGACTTGAGCATTCAGTAGAGTTCTGGAATACATCCCTAAAACTTAGACAAATGAGCATTAAAAAAATTTTGACATTTTGTCTCCATTACTGGTTATATACTCGAATATTAATTAAGTATTGAACATAATAATAGTGTTACCTTGAATGCAGTTCGTTTATAATTTATCCGTAGATCAACTAATATACATAGGGCGCACTGTAAGTTTCCGGAACTGGTTGTAACCAGTTCCGGAAACTTACAGTTTATGTATAAACAATATTTAAAAAGTAATTACAATATTTGAAAATGGAACTCTTTAGCTGTAGAATGCAGTTTGCTTCAATTTAACAATTTTGCAAATTGCAATTTAACAGCTCAGTGGAGCTTCACTCTGCTTCTAACTGCTTTTTGATTTGCATTTCGTGATGGTCGCCCGTCCACTGCTGTGAACAACAAAAACACCGATGCTGTGCGCCGTATGATCAAAACAGACAGGCATGTAACATACCTTGAGATTCGGGCATCTTTAAGCATGAGTCAAATACAATCAATACTACACAAACATTTGGGTATGAAAAAGCTGTGCTCTCGGTGGATCCCACACAATTTGACTGAGGCTCAAAAAACGGATCGCGTCACATGGTGCAATGCCATGCTTACCAGATTCAACGAAGGGGCGTCAAATTTGGTGTGGGATATAGTAACAGATGATGAGGGATTAGCCGAAAACAACCAAAGTGGCGCGCGGGTAAAGTGCCTCTAAGCGGATGATTGCTTCTTTTTTTAATAAAACTGGACACGTGGCTACTGTTGCTTTGGAGAATCGTTGTACCGTGAATAGTGATTGGTACACGAACATTTGTTTGCCGGAAGTTATTGACAGACTCCGTAAAAATAACCGTAAACGCCGTATCATCTTGCACCACGATAATGCCACACGGCCAGAAAGACAAATGAATTTTTGAAGGTGAACAACGTTGACCTTATGAGCCATCCCGAGTACAGTCCTGACCTGGCACCTTGTAACTTTTATTTATTTCCAAAAATTAAGAACCAGTTACGCGGTCAACGATTTTCATCACCTGAAGAGGCTGTCGAAGAGTATGAAAATATGTTTCAGAGATTGTCACGGAGGAGTGGCATAAATGTTTTCAAAATTGGTTCATTCATACGAGAAAGTGCATTAACGCTAACGGAGATATTTTGAGAAATAATAAATACATTTCTGACCATTTATGTTATTTTTTTCTTATTCATTCCGGAAACTTATAGTGTGCCCCACGTGGATGGAACAATTAATATATAAATGAAACATAAAAAAATATAGTTTAATTTAAAAAAGTGCATTTACAATAGATCAATTATTTATTTGAGAATCAAATAATATTATCCCAGAGAAAAAGGTAGACAATGCCATAGGTATCATGCCTAGGATGCTGGCTATGACTCCCCTTCAGTTAGCTAAACTTATTTTTTGAGAGAGAGAGGGCTGCCTCTGGTCAACAGATGCAAAGCTTGTTAGGATCTTACCAGTGGCCTCCAGAGATCCAAGGTTTTCACCGCAAAATGTTTTATTATATTAACCTTTATACTTTTCTGAATTTCTAGACGTCTTCAAGTTTGAAACGTCGCAGACCGGATGGCTATCCGCCATACCCTACCTGGCAATGGCCATAGTGTTGCAAGTGGCCGGCCATATGGCCGACTGGCTGCTGAAGCGACGCGTCATGTCCAGGACCAATATTAGGAAGTTGTTTAATTGTGGAGCCTTCTTAGCGCAAGTGAGTATAAAAATTGGTCAACTCTCGGATTCTGCAAAGAGTAGGCAGGCGTCAAATTGTCGATTAAACAACGCTAATAGAACGCCTGCTATGTGCGTCGGACCTTTAAACTAGTGATGTAACTGAAGTTTCAAATTTTAGCAGAAACAGATGCGTGAATACTATAAATATACTGCAGTACTTGTTTTTGGTTTCATAATTGCACTTAACACAACACAAGACTGCTAAGCGCGCTCCTCATCCTTTGCAAACGTTGTACAGTTCTATTATAAAAGTTGCGGAAGCAAAAACGGAAATAAATGTGAAAAAAGCGTACGTAACTCCGCTGTTACGAAATCAGCAAGGCCTGTTGCACATAAATTATAGAACGTACAACCCATGACAGCTTTCTATTTGCAGAATTCTTGAAAAGCAATAGTTATCGAGTTCTTAGGTTGTCGCGATTGTTACACATGTAAAGGGCCCGTAACGTTGGTTTGTTTGAAAACAAATATACGCGATTTAAATCCGGAAAAATAGTTTCATTTTCTAAGCAACAGTTACTCATACGTATCTATCGAGGATTTGATGGCTTAACTAATTTAGAGATTTAGCCCATCATCAATCAGGACCAGAGATGGGCGAGATCCCTGGTTTTTACCCGGCTCTTTGTCAACGTGTTTTAATGTGATTGAAACCCATTATATACACCCGGAATCGAGGGCAAAACCTATTTGCAACTAAATATTAGTAAATACTACAAAATGTTTATTGCTTGCTTCCATATTTCACCTTTCTATTGAATCTATTTGCTTGAAAATTGCGTTAAAATGAGAACACCTAAATCGGTTTTCATAAAAATCGAATTGTAATGTGCGTCACTAGTTGTAAGTCAGAGTTCACAGGATTTCAAGATGGATATTGTGTGGAATTGCCTCTTTTTCTTCTAAAAAGATTGTTTACATTTTATGGAATTTATATTCAATTATTTTTATGTGAAATTACTCTACTCGTTTGTTATAATTATTAATATAAAGACCGAACACTTAGAAAAAATTCCTTCGATCCGGCCGGATTCGAACCGACGTCTTGTAGCATACCGCGCCAGACGCTATACCAACTAAGACACGGAACGAACCAGCGGACCGCACGAATTTTTCTATGTGCTTGCGTCGAACCTTTGTATTTAGTTTTTCAACGACTTTTTAGCCGTAGCGCCATCTATGATAAATCTATGATATTTCGTCACACCTTTACAGCTACCAGCCCCGGCTAGAGATCCAGCTAGGGATCGAAGGCATTTTTTCTGAATATTCGATCTTTGTATTAATAATTATAAGATTTTTTACATCGAAATTTGTAATTAGTATGAAATTGTACATAATTCCGTATGCGCCGTTTCTGCCCACGATTTTGGGCAGACATGGGTACAAACCCGGTTAAAATTGTCGATGGGATTTTAATATACTGCCCATCTCTGATCATGGCTAATACGGATTGAGCACATCACACGATTTCCAAATGTTTTAAATCGTCGTTTAGATTTCATTACTTTTGTTCATTCACAAACATCGAGTATATAACCAGAAATAGAGACGAAATAAGGACCATATATTCCTGGTAACACATTAGCGATACAGCTCTTATAAATATCAACTCTCGTTTGCACTGAAATATAGACAGGCCAACTACTGACCTGTGCGTGCGTCTCCGTACATTCCAAAAAATATTCTGTATTTATTGTAATAAAGATAATATCTCTAACAATGCCGTGCTGTTCTATTCGGTGGTGTGGGAAAAACAGCAAAAACATCTAATTACAAAACAAACGGAATCATATTTCATCGGTAATTAAATATGTAATTTTGCAATTTTCGTCCATTATAGCAAAGCTCAAGTTAACTGGTCGATTTGAAGTGAAACAGTTGACGACACCCATTGACGACACCCGTCAATTGTTTCGAACTCGGGCTAGCCAATCGGAGCGCAGTTGTCACAGTAATGATATGGCAGAATAGTTTTCAAACAAATTAAATGACATTTCGTCTCTATTTCTGGTTATATACTCTATGTTCACAAATGTACATAACTCAGAGACAAAAGTCATAGGTACAAGCCGCTACAGGTGTTCAAACTGTCGAACGCTACATCCTTGTCCGATAGTATTTCTACGTTAGAATTAAATTTCTTGTCGTAACCCTCCTGTTTGTCCGCAGACGCTGTTCATGGTGTGCGCGGCGTACTCATCGTCGGTGACGAGCTGCGTGGTGTTCCTCACCATCGCCGTGGGTCTCGGCGGCTTCGCCTGGTCGGGGTTCAGGTACATATCTATTTTTATTACTAACTTTAACCATGTGCGCCGATGATAACGTCGTCGTAGCCAGCGACGAAGTGATCAACATGTTTTTCAGATGTTTAAATAATTACAACTATTTTATAAAAAAAAACGACTTACACACATAATACCAGTCTAATGAGCTGTTTATTAATAGAGGCTTAGTATTTCTTATTGATGTCAGTGAGAACAAACAAACGAATAAAGATGAATGCCTACACCATTTCAGGATCCTTGTGGTTGACCAGCTGTTAAACGCACAGAACAATAAATACAGTACACGTGCACGGCGCTTGTGCTAACAGTACGCAAAGTTCCGCATACTTGGACTCAGTCCGCGCAAAAGCTCTAAAATCGTGGAAAAATGCCTTATTTTGCTAGTTTGGAGTGCAAAAATTATAGTCGCATTTGTAATAATAGGGGTTAAAGTATGAAATTGCCGATTTGTACTGAAAA